CTGCGCTCGTAATATTGCACTGCTCAAGGCTACGTCATCAGCCGACCTGAAAGTAACCCGCTGCTCTGGTGATCCGAAACCCAGGAAGGAAGTCAGACGTGGCCTCACTGTGCCGACCCAGACTTCGTACACCTGCGACTCGTCTCGAGCTCGCTGTTTCTCGGAGAGCTCGCACTTGTGCCGTCAATATCAGGTCGCAGTCCGCGAGGTCTCTATTTGGAGTATGCAAGTCAGAACTTTTGGAGTGCAATCCATGCGTCGGTGGCAGGGGGTCGACAGGAAAGACTTTTACAACAGGGATGCCACCATATCATTTTTTAACCGTAAGAGAAGATAAGACAGGTGTTCCAGGTTGCTTGGGGTAGTCCACTATTCTTGAAAAATCCAAATGACACTGCCTGCTCGATCTTCAACGAGGTAACCTACGACTAAAGTACGTATTGTCCTTTCATAGAGCAGCGTGCTAAAGTTTCATGTTCCTGGTTACACCTAGAGATAAAGAATGCCAGTTTATTCCAACGTGACGTCATGTGATAAATGCTGACAAGAGCTTCCTTATTGAACAGGGGCGTGGTGATTTTGGATTACATATAATTTATTTAAAAATCGAAGTCTTTTCGCACCCCTCATCAGACAGACAGGATGTCAGGGAAGGGACCGCAGTCGGTCCTTGATGGAACGTTTTTTCAAGCCCATTGAAGACTCCTCGTCGTCCGAAATCACTACCTTCAAGGCAAAGTGCCAAGCCTACGGTAAAATAATTTCAGATAAAAAAAAACTTCAACCTCCAACTTCAAGGTTCATCTCATTTGGCGTCTCAAAATAATTTAAAAAAATGTATTGCGGTATCAGTATTTCTGTATTTGTATTACTGCCCTTCCTAAAATGTATTCCTGTATTTGTATTTCCAAATACTTTTTGCCTCTATTTAAAATGTATTTCCGATACGTATCGCGATACACTTTTACAGATATATCTCAGTATCAGTATTTTAGCTACTATTTTAAGGTATCGCTGTATTTGTATTTCCAAATACATTTTTGAGTATTTCTGCCCAACCCTGATATGTTGCAAAATTTTAGAGCATATTGTTTATAGTAATGTTGTAAGGCATTTCAATACAAATAGATCTTTCTCTTCTACTCAACATGGTTTCAGAAAGGGCCTCTTATGCGCCACACAGCTCGTAGAACTTTATCATGACTTGATTTCAACCAGACTTGTACTTAATCCGTTACAAGTAACGAAATTACTTGTAATCCCTTACATTTATCGGTAATTTAGTAGCGGAATTATTGCATATTTTCTAGAGTAATTTTAAAGTAATTTCCTTACATTTTTTACGTAACGGATTCTTTGTAATCCGTTACATTTTTTTCAGGACCAGCACCCCCCCCCCCCCCCCCCCCGTCCCCCTTCTAAAGAAAGGTCGTTTTCATTTTGGTGAAGTTGAGCGCAGTGACACTGCCACGCGTATTGACCAGCGCAAAGGGAGGCTTGGCATTATTCAGTTCCGCAAAACCTTTTTTGCAACACCAAGCCCCTGAAGCTATTTTTTTAGACCCTAACAACAATGTCAAAATATCCCAATAAACATTTCTACAAAAAAAAAGGGAGGGGGGGGGGGGGGGAAGGAGCAAATTATATTCGATTTTTTTTTCTTTTTTTGTGTCTTCGTTTTTTGTTTTGTTTTTTGCGATCGAAGGCGGGGAGAGGAAGACACCAAGTGATTGTACGCCTGTTCGAGAAGCTCAAGGTGGTAAGTGCACAAACAAGAATTAACAATGTCCTTCTCGGTTATAATGACTAGGACCATTGTCATAATGTCACAACACGAGACAACGCTCCGTCTACCCTAAAATCCACTAAAAGAGATCTGGCATTATTGCCACAAGCATCCTCGTTCTTCGATGCACACTTATCATCCTCTCTTAGAAAACAGGATGTATCTTTTTCGGCTTCTTTCACCTGACACTGTTTTAAAAGCTACTTACTTTTTTTGCAGTCCAACTTCTAGGGTTGGCCAACTTTATTTGTGAATTCAAACCAGGTTATTTGCATCTCAGTTACCCTTTTTGTAAGTCGTCAGCTTTTTGCGAGCACTTCGAAAATGGTAATAGACTTCCGTTTTTCTTCTTCCTGTTTTTACCCCAGCAGGACGCATCTTATCTCAAGCAGATATTTTTACAAATAAAACATAAAGGTGGCTGACGTAGACTTGAGACTGTGGTCTTGAGGAGAGAGTGAAACTCGTGAGTGCGGTCATAGCGCGGCTTACTTAGTACTCTGCCCTTCGCTGCCCGTGGCATCAGCTGACGTCTATCTGGAGAACACCGGAGTAAATTGCAGTCGGTCCGTGCTCCGTGCGTTTTTGAACGACACCACAAAGGGTACACATGGCAAACGGGCGTTTACATGTCCTTGTTCTAACCAACGTTCTAATTAATTGTTGTTATGAGTGTCCTATTGTTGTTGTTTTTTTCTCGATTACTTATATTAAAATACTGAAATTTTTTTTTTTTTTTATTCACCAACGTCTCAAGTGAGGCTCGAACTGTTCAGAACCAAAGCAAGAAGAATATCGAGCCAAACCTTATTTATTATTTGCTTATCACCTTACTGTTACCTACTCTACTAAAGCTCTCGATTATCAGGCAACGGCTGCAAGGACGAAGCTTCGCTTTATCTTCGCAGTAAATAGTACTTCCATTGTTTCGCTGAAAAAGCTCAATTCAGAGCATAAAACATTCGTGGCACAATATGGCACTCCCATCCAGTGCCTCAGCTCAAAGTGCGTTCAGCGTATCAGTGGGCATCTTCAGTAAGAAATAGCGCAAAATGTATGACGAAACTTTCGAGAGTCAGCTGTTGCTCAAAATACTCAAGGTCAATAAATAGAACAGGTGGCAACCAATAGAAACTTGAATAACCTTCTTCCCTTTGTTTCTTAATTTAGGAAAATAATGTTGAAAGTAACGCCACGAAAGTAACGGATTACTTTTGGGGGTAACGGTCACTTACTTTTATGGGAGGGTAATTGTAATTGTAATAAATTACAATTTAGCCTTCAGTAATTGTAAATGTAATTCCTTATTATTTTTCAGTAACGTGTACAAGTCTGGTTTCAACTGCTGAGGAGGGAGGAGAAACGCACGCCATCTTTCTTGATTTACGCAAGGCTTTCGATAAAGTTTCTCACCCTTTGCTGCTACACAAACTGAGCTCCCTTAGCCTTGATGAGAACATATACCGTTGGATTGAAAATTACCTTTCTGGGAGAAAGCAGTGTGTCGTCATAAACGGTGCCAGCTCAGATTTTGTTGATGTGACTTCTGGCGTGCCGCAGGGTTCAGTGCTGGGGCCCCTTTTATTTTTTGTATCTATTATTGATGTATCATCGACCATTAACTCGCCTTTAAGGCTGTTTGCGGACGATTTTGTTTTGTACAGTAGGGTAGACAATGTTGGTGATTCAGCTTTTTTGCAGTCGGACCTAGATAAAATATCGGATTGGTGCAGGATTTGCGAGTTGGGCTTAAATGGGGAAATGTGTGTGGCAAGTCGCTTTTGGGAGGAAACGTAACCCTGTTCCATCATGCTACTTTATTGATGATCATAGATTAAGTAATAACACTGATGTTAAATATTTGGGGATTACCTTGTCAAGCACCCTTTCTTTTAATGTTCATGTCACTGAAACTGCTAAGAAAGCCAGCCACACTTTAAATTTTCTTATTCGAAATTTACGCGATGCTCCACAGAAACTAAAAGAGACTGCCTATTGCTGTTTGGTAAAACCTAAACTGGAATACGCATCTGTTTTGTGGGATCCGCATCAAAAGTACCTTGCAGATAAGTTAGAAAAACTTCCAAACCGTGCGGCGAGATTTGTAACGGGAAATTATAGTAGGAACAATAGCGTAACAGAGACTAAAAATGTACTTGGTTGGAAAACTTTATTGTCAAGGCGCAAAGATTTTCAAATGAGGTTCTTGCTTGCAATTTTTAATGATATGACTGGTATTGATAAAAGCAACTACATTAAATTACCTAACTACATTTCAAATCGTGTGGATCATACCAGAAAAAATAAGGGAAATTTCTTGTAGGACAGATTATAAGTTTTCATTTTTTCCACGCACAATCGCTCAGTGGAACCTGTTACCAAAGTCTTTTTTTATTCGTGACGACGTGGGACCATTTATCTCAGGAAATGGTCTTGATTTTTAATGCTGTTTATGTTCAATGTTTATGTATTTTCTTTATTGACAGCCCAGGTTGTATATTCAAGTGTTCTGTTTTTATTTTATGAGCGTATTAATTCATGGGCTGTACCTGCTATAATGCCGAAGTTTTTCGGCGCTGCAGGTTTTTTTTTCTGTAAATAAAAAAACTCCGCCATAACTGTGGTGGACAGTCGCAGAAGACAGCAGGCAGTGCATGAGACGCAGCGTGATCGTGCGGAGCCGCAGCGGGCTTGTCTCGCGTGAAGGAACCTTACAGTTCCCAAATTGCATATCCTCAGCGGTGGCGTAACGAAAGTGGTTGGTGAGATCGAGCGTCTTTCGACGCGTTGATTGGGCACGATGCCCAGCCGAACACTGACGCAGCCCTTGTGTCCAATCAGTGTCTTCGCTCGATCTCACTGTGATGACGTCAAACGTCTAGTGAACGGGCTTTGATTATTCGGGGTGGTGCTGGTGTGACTCCCCCGCGCGCGCGGCTATGGAGAACATTTGCAGAAAATAATCGGCGCCGGGCGCTGCTCTCGTCGTTTTTATCTAATTTATATTTCGACTGCCGGTGAGTGCACAAAAGAAAAATGAATATAGTGAGCGCGTGGTAAGTAGTTTATAGAGGAGTTTATGTTTATATCTGCCGAAAGCGGTAGAGTCTTGCTGCGCCGGCCAATATATTTCACTCGGGGGCCCTGAACTCCCTTTCATGAAGGTTGACGGTGAAGATGCTTCAAAAACCTCAAGACATTTTTTTTCCTGCAGGTCTTATACATGCCACTGGCACTCGTGCTCTCCCCGAGCGCGTACCTGGTTCACCACCAGTTCAATCGCTTGTACCAGTTCCTGATCCACACGGAAGCCGTTCAGACGCTCGGGCCCCTGGAGTACGTCCTGAATACCCCGAGCCACCACCGGGTTCACCATGGTTCGTAGATTCGGGAGAGTTCGCTGGCGTATATCCCCGGGAAAAACAATCATTCAAAGGCGTGCTTTGCTCCGATCACCTTCGTCATATGCTAAAATGATCAGTGACGGTAATCATTGGTGCAACGTTCTGAGTCCTGACTTCTCATCTGCAATACTCCGCGACAACTTTTCTTGGCAATGCAGTGGAAGGTACAGGCACGCGTTTCCTCTCCCATTTTGAGGGCTGAATAAAACTGTGCGCGGGCTCTCCTCCTCTCCCCGGAAATGCCAAGAAAAGTTGTCACCGAATATAAAAGGAAAAGTTTTAGAACAGTTATTTGCTGAAATATTGACGAAACTTTACCTTTTTCTTCTTTAGGCGCGCAAAAACTGGAGAGTAAAAACAACGATATATGAGCTCGAAATATTAAAATTGCATTCAAGACTGCAAAGAGCGGAGGTTACCGAAATGGGGGCTAGGTCAAGGCTTCGAAAACAGCTCTAAGAATAAATCTATGGTCTGAGTCCCAGGCCAACCAAATATTCATCGAAGAAAAATATATTTTTATACTAATCCTTTTTTATCGGTGTTTGCTTTGTCTTGCCTATAATGCTATGAAGAGTATACCAACCCACGGTGTCGTGGCGGCGGTCTCTGTCCTTTTATTCGGTCCACCAGGCAGGGACAGGTACTGCATCGACAAGAACTACGGAGGCACGCTGATCATCTGGGACCGAATGTTCGGCACTTTCGAGGCCGAGCGGTGTCGGCCAGCCTACGGACTCACGCACCCCGTCAACACTTTCGACCCTTGGACTCTGCAGGCAAGACATTGTTGTTTTCGCAACACACGAAACAAGCTCTATGGAAAAAAAAAATATATATTTTCTGAAAACTTTCGAGAGACGATATCTTAGGAACACCTCAGCTCAACCAGCACACTCGTCCGTCCACAACGATAGTATAGTATAGTATAGGTATAGCACCCATATGAAGCACGCAGGTTCAAAGGCTTGGCCATACATATGAGATGGTTGTTCGACATCCAGTTGGTTCTTGGGCTGCTTTGGTACTTTCCGGCCAATGTAAGCGCAACATTACATTAAATCCTCTCGATTGAGCTCGCTGCTATTTTTCGTGTCGAAAATGTGTGTAGTTGTGTCAAAATAAGAAGAAATTAAGTATAGTTCTGACTTCTTATCACGAAAGTGCATGCAAAGAGAGCTCTTTATAGAGCCACTCGCTTTTGTTCATACTCCTCACAACGCTAAACAGAAGTCTCGAAAACGACGGTCTCGTGTGCAGGAGGTGCCTCTCTTTATTCAGGGTTTTTCATGAGGAAAGAGCAGTGAGCCTGACCAACTGCGAATAGATATATTTGTCGACAAAAACAAAAAAATAAAAATTCGGCAGAGACACTTCAGACCGCTTACGTGTAGGAACGCGAAAGCACTCCTACACGAGGCGCATTCCTACAAGCAGTGAGCCACGTCTTCCTTTTTTTACACGGTGCTCGGGCGGTGACATCACGCTGACGACACGTGAGCAGCGCTACATCAGCGCTTCGCTGCATGTGAGAACCGGCCTTTACTGGACAGTTTTACATCGGATACGCTAGATTATGCTTGACGCTTGACTAACGTTGTTGATACCATAATATTTATTTTCCTGGTTTATTGTAAATGACACATACACACACATATATATGACATCTTCAAGTTGTGGGGAGCCGAGGCGTTCACATATAAGTAAAAAAGCCACCGAGGTTCAAGCAAACTTGGATCATTTAATCGGACATTTCGGAGGGGGACCCTCCTTCTTCAAGCGTCACTTAAAAGTGAATAGGGTTACATGATGGCCGAGATTCTCGCTCAGAAAAGAAAGGAGTTTTTTTTTTTTTTCTTTTTGAAGTACGCGGTTAGCCAGTTAAGTTCGGAGTACGGTGCCGGGAACGTGTGTCCGGATTAGGGCCCCAAGCGTCCACACTCCTACCGGCATCCACCTCGTTCCTGTGGTACAGCTACGATCGGAGCAAAGACACTTCAATGTGGTCCCTCAATATCCGTCTGACGCCGTCAGGCGGATATTGAGGGACCACATTGAAGGACGGGGCAGACAGGCCAATGGGAGACTCGTTCCAGACGCCTTAGTTTGGAGCAGGGATAAGCAGTATTTCAAATACAAGTATTCGAAATGCGTATTTCAAATACTTTGTGTAGTTTGCATTTGTATTTAATTTACGAATTGGGTGATGTATTTGACGTGTTTATTTAAATACTGAAACGGGGGTATTTCAAATACAATTGTAATTAAATACAATTTTGCGGGCGAAAATACATCTTGTTTTTATGCATGTGGTTGTAAGATATAGTCTCCATCCTTTATTCGGCCATGGGGCTTTTTTATTTTTCTCCTCCGGCTTTATTTTAAAGGCACTGTCCAGAGCAGGAAGAAAACTACGTTCTGCACCGAAAGCAGTGTCTCTCAATTAAGCACAAGCGTCTTGTGACTTTGTGATTACGGTGCTAGTCCAGGGCAAGAATAGTGACGAAATCGACGTTCACAGGCAGACTGGCTAAATAAGTGCCTGTGACAACTTGTGATGCTTTCCAGCCTGATGTCCATCCATATTTTTGCCTGCAACATTCTAAATGCGCGGGTCGTCCAGATTTTCGTAACCGGTGCGAGTCGCAACAATAAAAAATTCTCTAGCTAGTGCTGCGCGTCTTGGTCGTCTCGGTTCTCTGTTGGTCTATACCAAAATGTAATCGCCAAAAAAAGCTGCTTGAAGCTCTGTACTTTTTTCCCCTATTACGTCCAAGCTGATTAAATTTTTTTTCTGACTATATTTCTATTACGTTACTAGAGCCTGGCACACTAACTCCGGAGTGTGTGATGCAAAATTGAAATGAGATACCCAGAAATCCGTTGCAGGTGCCCGGAAGTCGCTGAGGCAAATTTTGTGGAATGTATTTGGAAAAGTATTTGGAGGAGACCAAATACATTTAGTTGTATTTGTATCTTCTACTTAAATGCTTTTTTTGGAAATGTAATTAAATTTGTAATTAAATACATTTTTGACGAAGTATTTTGTACTTGTATTTCGATACATATTTGCATGTATTTTGCCCATCCCTGGTTTGGAGTATAAAGGAAGATTTAAGGGTATTTGTTACAACTTCTTTTTCTTCTTCTTCAGATGCATCAGCTGCAGCACATTTGGAACCAAGTTTGGAAGCTAGAGGGTATCGGAAATAAGCTTTCAGCAATCTTCAAGGGCCCCGGATGGGAGCCAGGAAAACCCCGTCTAGGAGATCCCAACGACATCCCAGATGTGCGTGATATCAAACACCCGGGCAAGATTAACATTTTATAGGTCCTCGCTACTGCTTGCGGTTACTCGTTTTTGTGGGACACGCAGAGTCCCAGTCGCGAGTTTAGAACAGAAATATACAGAATGAGGATACCAGGAAGCAAAAGTTGATAGATGCCGACCAACCAGACGTGTAGGTACACATCACTCGACTTGTATGCGTAGTAGGGCCCACGCTGCAAATCAGACACTTGATGCGTGACTGCAGGTGCAATGTGTTCCGTCACTTGTTGATATTACACGAGCATTAGTGCTTTGTGGTGCGACTAAATAAGCTGCGCTTCAGAGTAAGGACACTTGGCCATATTGTGTCTTAAAATCACGGTTGCCAGTTATCTGAAGCTTTATGTGAAATCACAGGAAACGCTTTTCCGTTCTCAACAAATGTTTAAACAGTTCGCGACAGAGCAAATCAATGTTACATGGCATTCCTAACACCGAATCTAATGCTGAGGAAGTCGCACTTTTGAATCATGACGATCGGTAGTTGCATCTGCTGTGCATACGAGCGAAAATGGCAGCTCCCGCAACAATGACGGGGAACGCAGTGCCGATACTCTAAGCGCAGCTAATTTAGTTTAAGGATTAGTGGGTAGACTTAAAACCCCGTTTTCACCTCAAGAACTGTAGAAAATAAAGTCCGGCACCTCGCGGAGCATTACTAATTTCCCCTTTCTGTAAAGAATTGAGATACATGTAGGTGAATTTGAGATGAGATTAATGCTATTTCATCAAAACGCGCTCTGGTCTGAAACGCCAAAGGCGTCGCTTTTTCCTTCGATAACCAAATATCGTAAGAACTACTTCGCGCCGCGTACGAACAATACGCAAAACTTGCTTTTTTCTTGAGGTGAAAACGGGTATAGTGCTGTAGACGTTTCTTAGTTCAGCTTCGATACCTTATAGGAGAAATATGTAATTGCATGCATGTTAAGCGCGTCCGTTCTCGAACGATTCATTTGGCATAAATTATTTCATTGCTGCACCCCGTCGTTCTCTTTTTAGTTATAAAGAACTCGATCTGCTTCGAAACCTTCATTACGGACTTCGTATGAGCAGAAGATTGGTTGATACCACGTCTTTACTACCACATCTTAACGTAGGTCAGTTGGTCAAAGCGAAGCGTGTTGCATGTTTACTACATCACTTCTCTCAGAAACAAAAATAAATGAAAATATGCTTGTTCGCAAATACTTTCTATTTTCATGCTTAATTTATCAGCCTTTTTGTAGTCCTAAACAACGTTTCTCAGAAGTCGTGTCCGATATTTCCAACCTTTAACTTGCAGCTTTCTGAATATCCCAACTTGCTTATGGAAAGAAACTTGTCTACTGGCAGTTGCCAGCGTCATACTTGGCGCTGCATCGATTGCACGCGGCGTTTGAAACAAAACTTGAGGGTGCTATCACCTTATTCCTGCTGCGTCCGGCCATTTTTGCTGACTGCATGCACGCTTTCTCCACCCTGGACGTTTCTTTGGGATAGTTTAAACCCTTCGATTCCTTCTCGGCGAGTGCGGTGGTTCGTGTATACCTCACATGTGGTCTCGAAGGTTAGTGCCTCCTTTTCGAGCAACGCTGCTTGAATCGTAGGATTCTTGAGCCCCGCGACGAATTTGTCACGCAACGTATCGACTAGGAAGTTCCCGAACTCAGATTTAGAAGCCAGGTGTCGTCGTAGTTCGGCGGCTAACGTGGAAATAAACTCTGCTTCCATTTGCTAACGACTGTCCAACCTGAACCTTTCCGCTATTTCTTGGGGTCCTGGAGCGTAGTGTTCTTTTAGAACTTCTATGCGCCGAGAAACCCATAACAAGAAGAGGAGACGAGAGGGGACGTCAGAACGTCGCGCTTTGATTGGTAGGATTAGTGGGTAGACCTTAAGCTACGCTGCCTTTGTCTCCACTGAACTCGCCGAACGCGTTCGGAACTAGGGCTGGGCACCTGATCGATTAACCTACCGATTAAGCGAATAATAGCTTAGTCGCGATTAACTTTTTAACCGGTTAAGTTTTGACAAGGAAAAACAAAGTTAAAATGTAACGCTTTCACCACTCATACGTGGACGAATACACCCGTATGAAGGCAGACTTTAGGTGAAATATTGGCCTAAAGTAAACTGTAGGCCCAATATATGTAACTCCAGACAAGTGGAGAATGTGATATTACGTGTCCCATGCAGTCACACCGAGTCCATGAAAGTGTCCGTTTAGTGCAGCAGATACTATTGTGAACAATCGAAGGAGTTCCCTGTTGCCGGAGAATATCAACGAACCTCTCCTGTCTGATGCAGCTGAAGTAATAATTTGTGAATGGGTGTCTTTTGACCGTTCTCAACGACGCATTTTGCCGTTTGTCACATATTCAGGAAAGGCAAAAAGGTAATTTTGACTTTTTAGACTATTATGCATGGGAATGAGCGATACCGATTAATCAATTATTTAGTCGATTAAAGGGTGGCGATTGATCGGGTTAAAAATTTTAATCGACGCCCAGATAGTTAGAGCGGGCAACGCCGGTGTCCGGCGTTTGGCTCTGGCATTCGAACGCGTTCGGCGAGGGCCGTAGAGACAATTAAGACAACTAGCTTTAGCTTTTTGCGACTCTGAGGGGACTACCTCAGGCGGGGAACGAGGAGTCGGGGCTGTGGCTCGCTGATCGCATAGCCCCGAGAAAACAGCCCTAAAATGGGATTACTGAAGTAGAACTATTAGGCACAGTGAACATACAGGTAGCTGCTCAACAGTTCAATTGGCATCTTCGGGCTCCCTAAACCAACTCTGAGAGCGAGAAGGCCCTCTAACAGAGAGGGAGAGATAGGAGCCTTCGCCGGGGTTCGAATCTTCACGCGGTGTTCGAGGGGCGGGGGCGGCTGATGCAATTGTCCTGTGCTATTTCATCGAGGTGCAGATGATGCAACCTGTAGCCGCTCTTGCCATGCACCGGTGCCTGACGCATGCAAGGTGTCGACGCCCTTGCCGCTCGAACTGAAACACAACACCGACGGACATATACACACAAGCGGGCACGCCGGTGTTTCTCCTTGCGGGGGCTGGCAGTCCAAGCTCGTCTGGTGAATTTCGGAAGACGTTCTTTTTGTTTTTAGAGCGCTCAGCGAAGGCCACTACCCGCCTGACGTCTCGAGGGTTCTGCGCTCCGGGTAGAGTACGGTGTTAACTTCTCGGGCGGTCTTCCCTGCAGCGTTCCCAGAAACACAAAACGGTCTGCCTAATAATCATTCGAACCACAGCTCGGCGTTTTGGCGTCCCAGCGCGCTCTCATCACCTCCTCTCCGCCAGTTTCTCGGTGCATCTATTCTCGAACGACTTGTCCTCCGAGTCTGGTGGCAACAGCAGGTCATTCAGGGTGTTGTACGGGTGCCTCCCGAGGGTGGTGATGAAGGTGGTCTTCTCGACGCCTTTGCCTTTGATTTTCGTCACTTTCCAGTAATTCTCGAATCGCTCAACATATACCAGTCCCTCATCACCCCCCCTCCCCTTTTCCCCCTACTATGTAAGAGTCCAACACCTAAAATTTTGACATTACGTCGAGGCTTCAGCGCCCTGCCGTTCCTTCACTGACGGTGATAGGTGACTGCCCCAATCCTCGTTGCCAGATGCGGTGACAAGACACGCTGGTCACTGCCAAGAAATGGAATAATTTTTATTCTCCGATTGTTTTTAGCTCTAGAGTCTATTTGCTCAACCCGTCTTGTCGTGGCAGCTTAGCGCAGACTTCTTTGTGAATAATAGACGGCTGCTCCCGTATTTGTGTACATGATGACTCGATTGATTATTCGGAAATTCGGAAACAACAAGCAGCTGGGGCTGCTTGTTTTTTTGCACGTGAAAATGTTGCAACTGGTTACTCTCACGCTCTGTTTCCGAACGCGTTAACCGGTTTGCCTTTTTTCTTCGTACGTGCCCTGGCAAAGTGTCCAATATTTTTACACCAGTCGCATCTTGCTTTACGATATGGCAACTCGGATATGCTGTACATGAAGCAGCTCTTGATCTGCCACGCTCTGGCGACATTACTTTTGTTTTATCATGTTGTCAACGCTTTGCAGGTGTCCAGGCCTGTCGAGCCGTACGCTTCGAAAACCAGCGCGCTGTGTAAATTCTACGTTTGCGCGCATTTTACCTTGCTCATCCTCGGATACGTTAGGCTGAACCATCTTAAAGGGGTAAGTGCACCTTTAATGTGGTTTCACTTGTCTCGCATGCACGTTATTGAGTTAAGATTGTCAAAAATATTACTCCTCTTGCGACGACATTTTTACATGAAAAGCTCGAACATACTGCTGTATTCAGTAATTTTAAAAGACGAGCACATAATCAACATCATGCTATGGTTGCAGGTACGACAGAAGCGACGATTGTGACGTCGCTGCTCACAATGTGGAAGCCCTCAGAAAAAGATGTATTTACGCTCCACCGACGTTTTATGGCAATGTGCGCTTGGGGTGGCAATGTTTACTAGGTTAATGAAGTAATGATAATTTTTTTCTGATCTTAAGACGTTTTATTTGTCTAAGCATGTCCTTATAAACGTCCTAGAATGGCAAGCCAAGAGTGATTACACAGGAGATCAGCTGTCCATATAAATCCGATAAAAATTATACTCCCAACAAATTGTGACCTTCAAGAAGCTCAAGCAACCTAAAAGTATTAGACAATAAGACAATCAGCAGTACCACTTAAGACTAGTCATCTGTGGAGTTCGCAGTATAGGAAGGTAATAGGAAAGTCTCTATGGTTGCCCGTAAGTAATCAGTCTGTAGGAATGGTGTACCGAAGAATGAGAACATTTGCGGATGTTAGGAGTTCCCTAACATGTCAAAACACGTTCTTGTAGACGTCCTAGTCCCAGTTGAAGCGGAAACACGACTAACTACAGCAAAAATCAACTGCCAAAAAAAAAACTGCCCATAGGATTTCCGTAGAGGTTATAGAACGGAGATAGTATTTCTAGCGTCCACATAGACTTTTGTATGGGAGGCTGCAGAAAAGTATGCTCAACAGTTTATTTGTCGCGGCTGACCTTTTTATGACGGCCACGGACGACAACATTGTCTGAAGGTGGGTTCCTGTTACGTAGGATGGAGCGTACCGTGTCAAATGCCGGGTTGTAGGCTTAACCGGTGCCGTTTTTAAAGGGATGCTACAACGAAATTTCGGCGCTCATTTTTTGGTCTATATGTGTTCAAAGGAGCAGCATCACATCGAACACACCAGTATCTTGTTAAAAAAGTCACGAAAAGGAACTTTAAAACGAATTAAACGATTAGCAAAGAGCACCTGGTGGATGTCGCTAACGCCTCGCTTGTAATGCCCGTCTAGGAACCTTGACAGCTAGTGACGGAGGTTGTCTCGCCTCCGGCCACGACGAGAGAAGAGGGGCAGCAGGAACTCCCCTCTTCCCGGGAATGCTTTTTGTGTGTCGTAGAAGTCGCTATTGTCCCCCTACAAGATTACAGAAGATGAACCCGTCACTCAAAATTCGTACAAAAGCAGCCGTTTGGTGGCTGGAACGACTAGGCCATACTCGTCTTGAGACGACCTACGTCACGATTGCATTGGATGTCACGTGGTCTCCGCTGGGCCTTCTCCGAGCACTTGCCAGAGTGGGCCGTTTATAACGAAAAATACAGCCACCAGGCTCAAAATACAAACGTGCGATTGTCATTTACGGATATTGTGGATCATATTTAACCTATTTTTAAACACGACGGGAATATTTCAAATTTCGTTGAAGTATCCCTTTAAGGCTGCCATTCTCTCCAAAACACGAATCTATTCCCTCTTTCGTTTCTCTTCTTTTCTGCAGGCTTAAATGGCATACTAGTTTGCTTTCTGACAAGAGCTTGACTGCATATCAGATTTTTTTGCTCACTTACCTATCAGAGGTACGAGTAATCGGCGAGACGGGGACACATCAAGAGGTTCACGTGTGCGCACGGCGAAAAACTGCTGGGGACCATCGGAAGCACAGCAGAGTTCATAACAGCCCTCAACCCCCGTTCGTCTGGTGGCATCATAGGAACGAATTCCGCATCATTAACTACATTTGTCAACCTACACGCTCCCTAGACTCGAACATTGATTTCCTTTGACACCCAATGACGAGCCATTTTTCATTCCCTAGTCCTAGAGGTGAACACTAAATTATTCTTCTCAGCGGCATCAGAGATTTCGATTATTAAGGATCAATAGAACACGTTCTTCCTGATCGTCCTAATTATGACGTACAACGACGGGCCAACGGCGCACTTTATGTCAAATGAACCTGCAGAAATTTACTATCCCAGCCCGTGGAACAAAATGAAACAAACTTAACAAGTGTCCAAGCTGCTTCGGTAGTGCTTCTTGCTAGACAGTATATACTTTTGCGCACTGCAGAACATTCCCGATCATTAGAATGTTATTGCGGTTTTAAGCACTCTATATTGACATACGTGGCTGCGTATCTGTCTACCTGTGTTTCATTCCACCCCTTAATAAGGAGGAGGGGGGGGGGGGGGGGGGTCTGGCCACTGAATGCGCGGAGCATGTGGATCGTTAAATTTCTCAAACTAACGCTGAAAAGGTTTAAGTAAACCAGCTCTTTTGAAACCCGAGCATGTCCGCTTCAATCTGCATGAACATATCATACCGGCATGCACTCGTGAATCATTATTTAAAGACCCCAGCCTCGCAGTTGTCCTGCACTGGTTAAATTTCTCATATACAGCAGAGCCATAAGTCACCCTTTGTGACAAACTACTTTTAGTTATTTATACTTCCGTTTAATAAACTACATTACCCTAATAACGAATCTCACTAACAAAAAAAATGTCAGAGATTTTTGTTTGTTTGTTTGTTTTTTTTGTTTGCTGAGGCTAGACTTGGGTCGTTGTGCAAAAATACCGCAAGCCTATGAGCACAGTTTTCATCGTCCTCGAGCGCTGTTTCGCGTTCATGTGCATGCATTTTCAGCCACCTCGTCGCCGTCGGCGTATCTCGAAAAGCTTGTGATGTAAGTCAACAGGCCGATTTCCGCACTCTGATTATCGCGTTTTCATTGGCATTCATTGCCTGGCTGAAAGGGAGAGATAAAGAAAAAGAGCGGGGCGAGGCTTAGGTAAACACACCTTTGCCGGCTCCCATATTTGGTTTCACGATAAGCGTAAGAGAATCTGGAAGCCGACTAAAGGCTAATGTGTGAATCACCGGCTCACTACTTCAGCCTCTCTCTCCCCCGCCCCCCCCCCCCTTTCCTTTCTTATCTCTCTCCTCGTAAACCAGGCGATGTGGCGTTCATGAAAATCCACCAATTGGAATGGCAAAATGGGCCCACTGACTTAACAAGCGTTTCCCAATACGCTCCCCGTCGCCCTCATCCCTCTTTTTTCTCTCTCGCACTAGATCATGAATGTCAACTGGGAATAAGCTGGCTACTGTAATCGGCATGCTGGTTGATAGTTAATAGTGATGTCATTTACAGGAAATGGATGCCACTACCCTCGCATGTGGAATCGGCTACATTACATTCTCGCTGGTTGTCATGGGCACTTTTCTAGACGGAAGGTAAGTAAACTAAACCAGGTAGAACAATCAATTGAAAGTATCATACTTACGTAATTATTTTACGTACTCTATTCACTTTGCAACTTCATTCTTTTGCTGTCTGTTCACTCAAACTATTTCACATATCTAAATAAGGATATTGAAGCTTAGGTTTCTTACGTAAATTTTGGATATATGTCTTTAATATTTTATTAGTTATTTATGTTTTACACACGTTTACTCCGCCACTATTTATGCTTGGGAGAGGTTTGCGCGTGTCTCCCGTGAGCGAGTCATAGCTATTTGCTTGCCTCTCACATGAGCCAATCATAGCGATTTATACAAGGAGGCCCGCTAGTGACAAGCACGATAACTCTATGGAGGGAGGGATCGGAGGCTGAGTGTTTTAAAGGAAAAGCTGAAGAGGTTCTCTAAAAAAAAATAAAGGTGACCTTTAGAGTATTTTTCTGAATACCACGTTCGTTTTCTCCGAAGATGTACATGAACGCGAGAAAACACGAAAAACTTCCGACCAGTCGTTGGGTCATGAAAGGATACTTCGGCCGCCAAGCGCGTGTCGCTCGTGTGGGAAGCGCGTGCAAAGGCAAGCTTGACAGGTATATACCCCCGCACTGACGCCAGTCGTGACGTATTTTTCTAACCTTTTTTGTTTAAAACAAGAGCGTGCTTGCATAGCTTTGATGAGCACTGCAGATGTGCGAGAGCGGAGATTCCGAAAACTCCTTACACGAGGTCATGCTCCGAGAACGAAGGCCTTCAGTGGTACCTTAAAAATGATTTTCTGCAAAAACCGCGCACCGAAATGAAAAATAATATTGATCTGCGTGATCCCGGAGGCCAAATTAAGACGGTTTAACCACTCATTCGCACTAGAAGCGGATCCGCGTTCGCAAAGCGGTTGCAAACGCGGTTGTATAAAGATCCAGTGCAATTGCACGCGCACTTGATGTCATCGGGTGCGCGTGCAATTGTACTGGATCTTTATACAACCGCGTCCGCCACCGCTTTGCGAACGCGGATCTGCTTCCAGTGTGAATGAGCGGCAAGTGTTTTTTCCTTAAATGCAGAACCGCCTTAGTTTTCCTTTAACACACCGCAGCTCGGAGCGCGTGGAGCGAAAGCTCGCGCTGCAGGACCCAGGAGCCCTGGCTTCAATCCCCACCACTGCCCGTTTCGATCTGGATGAGCATCGTACCGGCGTGCGGTCGTGTATCACTACTGCGTGGTGCACGCTAAAGACCAGGCTAGCGGTTGTACGGCAGTAGCTGAATTTCTCATATAGCTAAAAGACAAGTAGCACATTCAGGCAGGCTAACATCCGGCTCCCTGAACATTCATACATCACACTTACTTTTAACACCTGGGCACACACAATCTCATACCCTGTTTGCACTAGCGCTCTCAACTGTCATTAAACCAACGATCGTTGGCATCTCCCAACTGTCAATGAGCTCAACTAAGTTGTCTGGTCTTATACGGTTCATACGCCTGACAACCCTAGTTGAGATGCGCGTCACTGGACACAGTTAAAACCGAAACGAAACGAAAACTGATGTCACATTGCCTTTTTTTAAGAAGTGATGCAAATGGTTATACATGCGCACATTCCATTTATTATAGAAGTTTCAAACAAAATAAAATAAACTTATCTTTGTTTTTGTTTTAAGAGTAATGAAACGACAGTCAGAACGTTTCGCACGAATTCAAGCAAGGGAGACATAACAAAAGTCTTATCGGTACCGACATCACAATGGCCGCCCTCGCCGAGCTTGGCTTTGGTCAACGTTGGCTTTGGTCAACGTTACGGGAGCAAGTTCAGTTTCGCAGCTCCGCCTGGCGACGTGGGCTCAGTGGCGGTCGCGAGAACTAGCAGCGCTGCAGTCGAATCTCGCTTCCGGATTGTCTTGCCCGCGAAGCTTCAATAGCAATACTTGAGCTTGGGCGAGTTGGCAATTCATACTAACACTTCACAGCGCAAGGAAACAGCCGCACACAAAAATAAATTTCAAGCACTCAAAGAAAGAACACTCACAATGCGCCGACTCTGATCTCTGTGGTGTATTACATTCATCTTCATCATCACCTTTTTTTTTTATTTTTTTGTTATACACATGGAAGTAAAAAAAAATGGAAGAAAAGAAAAAGAAAAGGAAGCTCTTAACGCGGTGGTAGTAGACGACGCGCGAGACAGGGAAGCAAGATCCGACTGCAGCGCCGCTAGTTCTCGTGACCGCCACCTGAGTCACTCGCCCCTGCAGGCGAGAACAGGGAGCTGCGAAACTGAGCTTGCTCCAGTAACGTTGGCTTTGGTTTCCACGACGTTCCGTGATCATTTTAGCGGCAGCTCTGGCCCCGAATCATACCTCTTCCGAAAATATTTGATGCTACGTTACTTTCTAGATACCTCTCCCAACCTACCCCAATAGTAAGTGCTTCGCTGGCGCTGGCCATGGGCGGCGATGCGGCGGACGCCGCCATCATCAGCTCTATTGGCGACGTGCGCGATCGAAAGCGTCGCGGTGTTCGGCCTTCCGCCATCGGCCAAATGCTGACTATGACGTCAGCAAAGGAGTTCTCATGGACGGAAATAAGAGAAACGTGTGCATGGACTTCAATTTTGACGGTGTTTACAGTGTTGGTTCAAAAACGCTATGATTTCAAGCTTCCGCCATGCTAATTACAAACACCATCGAACTTGTTGTTCGCAAGGTAATGACGTCGTGAAAGGTAACCCCGCGAGGGCGCCACCGAAACATCTCGCCACTAATTGGGGCGAACCCCCCTCAGTTAACTGAGGTAGGCGAGCTCTATGGCGCATTCACACTGGAAGCGGATCCGTGTTCGGAAAGCGGTTGCGAACGCGGTTGTATAAAAATCCAGTACAATTGCCACGCGCATTTCAAATTCGCATGCAATTGTACTGGATCTTTATACGTCCGCGTTCGCAACCGCTTTGCGAACGCGGATCCGCTTCCAGTGTGAATGCGCCATTAAAATCAATGATTGTTAGCGGCTCAGCGACAGTTGGCGCCGCCGTGTAACTCCGGGCAATCGTGATTGAGTCAATTGTCGTTGGCTTAATTACAGTTATGAGCGCGTGTGTCACTAGGGTACAAAAGATACTTTCTGACAAACCCCTCATAAAGCCAGTCACTAAGCCCAATACGAAAAAAACAAAAACACAAACAAACATGGAACCGGGCCGGAAATAAGTGATTCGACCCAATAACAAAGTCTACGATAGAACACTGAGTTTGAAAGCGGGCACATGAAACGTATTGCTCAGTGATGCCACGTAGACTCGTATCTCCTCTGAGAATGTTCTCTAATGCCTCGCCACTTTCTAATATCTTTCTGTTTACGGCAGTAATTGGATTTTTAAGTACTTTAGGAGAGAGGCGATGCGTAGGAATTTTTTAGCGCACAAACAGTAAGACGTGCTCGGATTATGAACAGGTAAGCGTCATAAGGTCTTCAACCCTATACGAAAATTGCGGTCCTAGTTTACCTTTTTTGCCTTCTGATTCGTTGACACAATTACGCAAATGTCAATAATTGGGTTTTACTCACTGTTCAGGAAGGCTTGTAGGCAGGCCCTCATTTTATACACATGGCGCGCACTACAAGAAGGGCCCGTAATACTTCTCGCAAAAGACAGGAGGTATAATTTTGTATAGCGTCAAAGTCTCCAAGTTAAGAGCCTCGTTAGGCCTCAAGTCTCAAGTTAGGCTCGTGTTTGTGAGGGGCTTCGTAATTTTGGAAAAAAAAAAGTCCTCCATATTCATTAACTTTATAAATTCAGGAAATATATTTTGTCTGCGCATACGCCGAGAAAGTGAGGGAGAGGACACGAGAGCGCACGAGAGCGCACGTGGACGTCAGAACGCCGAGCTCTTGTTCGAATGATTAGTCTGTATAGGCCTCGCAAGTGGGCTCGTTTTCGTCTTCTGCGCATGAGAAAGGAAGTAGCGGTGACGTCAGAACGCCGAGCCCTGATTGGCTCATCGCGAACCCCTATCTCAGCGTCGTCTGCTCCTTTGCAACGTCGTCTGCTCGCAACGTCGTCTGCGTCTGTCTTACCTTTCCTCCGACTTTCAGAAGTCGAGCGAGCTCGACTTCGCCTTTCAGAGAGGGCCGACGAAATAACTCGAGCGGTACATTGTTTTTGTCTAAAAACTAGCAGACGCGCATCAAGGAGGGAAGTCAAAGCACTCACTGGCGAGATGTCCCACGGCGCCGAGGTTTGTTTGCTAAGAACCGAGAGTGAGCGTGTTAGTGTCCGCAAGTTCCCTCCCAAATACTTTTTACCTCCTTTCGTGTGCGGCGAGACTCCTCACTTTTTAACGGCGTCGGCGGGTTGGCGCAGTTAATGTCGTCTGGTTTACGTCTGCTAGTCAAAGCGATGGCTGCTTTACGTTTCCTGCGTCTGTCGGAGATTCACCGCTTTTTTACCGGCGAGAGTCACCGTTGCCCCGGAAAACAAGGAGATGACAAGACAAAAGAGATTGACCTCTTAATCTAAAATTGAGGTCAGCGATCAAAGTATAAGACGGGAAGGGTTCGCAAAGGTCGCGCGGGCATATTCCATTCAGCACGGCAGCCGGTCGTGGGCAGACGGTCGCCCAGTCGGAGTGTCTGCTAGGCCTATCTGCCGTGCTCGCTTGGTCGTTGTCCGTGGAATCGTGGCCGTTGGAGCTTTTCCCGGGTGTTTGTGGATCCAGCGTTCTTTTTCGTCGTGGTCTGTTTGAAGTACTTTTTACGTTTTTCTTGCTGCTTGAAGTCGGGACGCGTGAGAACCGCACGTAGAAAAATAAACGTCCGTTGGTCGTCGCGACCGCGACGCTGTCGGCCATGCTGATTTGATGGTAAGTGCGTAAGACAGCTTCGGAGCTGTCGTAGGATTCCGTCGTAACCTGCGCAAAACGTACGAAAATTTCATTTCGTGAATACGAATTTGTTCTCAAGTTTTGTCTTACGCATTTTTTTTGCCGTAAGGTCGTTTTGTGAACCCTCTGCACCTTCGAAAGTCGCAGGAAAGGTAAGACAGACGCAGAAGACGTTGCGAGCAGACGACGTTGCAAAGAAGCAGACGACGCTCAGATAGGGGGTCCCGATCAGCCAATCAGGGCTCAGCGTTCTGACGTCACCGCTACCCCCCTGCGCAAGGAGCAGACGAACTTGCCCTCCGCATAGACCTAAAGCCTTTGTCTCCACTGCACTCGTCGAACCCGTTAGAATGCGAAACGTCGGCGTCTGGCGTTTGCTTTTTGCATTCGAATGTGTTCTACGAGTGCAGAGGAGACGCAGCTAGCTTTAGGTCTATTCACTAATCATTCCAATTAGGGCTCGGCGTCCTGCTGTCCCATGCGCTGTCGTCTCATTTCTCCCTCAGTTTCTCGTCGCATACACTCTCGACCCGATCGCCTTAAACGTTTACGAATGTCGATGTGTAGGTGCCTGCGCTGACACACTTCCATCTCGTTTCTTGTGCCTTAAAGGTTAAAGCAGCTGCCGATCTTGCCCTGTCGCTTACCTCTGCAGGGAAAGATAGCGGTCGGATCAAAACCGAATCGATGGTCCGGTGTGCTTTATACCGATCTGAAAGCTATGCCCGGGCCGGAGGAGAGTGGTATTTCTAACTGTCAGACAACAACAATAGGACTGATTCCAACCAGTGCTTGGCGTTCTGGATCATTCCAACCAGTGCTCGGCGTTCTGAGGTCCCCGCGCGCTCCCGCTTCCTTTCCTTCTCTTTCTCGGTGCATGCGCGTAGCTATGCTAGTATAGCTCTTCCTTCCTAACTAATTCGTGCTAAATTATAAACAAAATTACGAAAAAATTCGCGTGATGAGAAGGAGCATCACCAAAATACGTATACACTAGTATTTAAAAAGAAAGAAAGCAAAGAAGCACGTTTGTTTTTGCGGTGCTAGTGTGCCACAGTGCGTCTTCGCGGTTTTCAAAACAGTCAACTACGAAGATATGCGAAACAGAATCAAAGCAGCTGTAATGAGATTGCAGCGGTCACCCAATAGACCTTTTGCCGAATTAGTCAACCATCAAAAAAGAATGACTGGAATGTATGTACACCCGCTGCGCGTGCTGGCGTCTTCAGCTCTAACTGTTCGAAAGCAAAAATCTAAAAAAATGGCACCTCGCACGCGCGTTGCACGGGTCCTTTATTTTAATTATTTACTTCGAACCGTTTCCATAGTGAAGGCGAGCGTGTGCAGCGCGCGTACCTACATTCCCAACACTAGGGAGTTTTCGTAGACCGCGCTGCTCCCTCCGCTAAGCGTTCCGCAACGAAGAAGTTGCTACTGCGCCTGCGCGCCGATAGCCTTGACTGTGGAGTTCCCGCTATCCTAGCGGGTTGCGGAGGGCCCTTGCGGGACGGCGAAAACGATCTACAAAAACTCCCTATTATCTGTGGTGCTTGGGTAAAGCCCGGTTGAGACAGTTGCGTTTGACTGCGTTGGGGCTGCGAGAAACCAGGACATCACTGCTGCTTATATCACGTGCCAAGATGATTCCTTGAATTCAATTCCACGCTTCATACGAAGCACAGATGTGCCGGTGACTCGCTTTTTGTTCTCGACGCAACGCAGTCAAATGTACTAAGGGTATGTTTGACTGCGTACCCAAGAAGCAGTCAAACGCACTTAAACGCAAGTGTCGGAACCGGCCTTTAGTTAGCGAAAGGTCTTTGAAAAGAGCGCGTAAATGCAGTCCTTTCAGCATTCGATCTAGCACCTTGCCTATAGACGCTTTACACACGCGCCAGATTGAGCCGCCATAGCCGCCCTTCTCCTGTCTTACCGAGATGCCGAGCCACTGAAGCGGGCGTTGACGGGTCTTCACAAGGGCCTATGCTGGGCACAAGTACACAGTAGCACCTAAGATGGCAATAACCTGTCCTGCTGTGGTAATGATGAAGTGAAGCGAACGGAATAAGAGGGAACAAAAACTGAAGGTCAGTTATGGCGGCGCCCATGCACAGCTGCTGTAAAGCGTCTATACTTGCGACGTTGAGCAAAATTATTCACCATGAAAGTATAAATAAAAAAACGTAAAGAAAACACAGCATGTGCCTTAATAAACATATGCTTCTAAAAGAGATCTTACTTCTCGAAGGGAAATATTTTACCCAAGAAGGGAAATACTTTCCGAAGACGTTTGTGAAATAACGTAACTGCTGCTCTGTCTATTTTGTCCGTACTTGCAACCCAGAGGTGGTGCGCTGTGGTTTCATGGAACTCACGTTTAGAGCAGGTTGCTATGAGCGCGGTTGTAACGGGCCGCTGCCGCAGGAATCGCGACCAACGCAGACACACGAACAGGACATGACTCCCTCTAATAAAAGACACACTCTTGAACTACGGGATAGAGCGTAGCGCATCTCGTCACGTCTCCTCCTCTTTCAGGAGTTGTGCGTGTCCACTGGAAGTGATCCGGTGCGTCCTCCTGTTCATCCTCGATGGCTACGTCTTTCACCTCGGCAGGCCGGGAAGCCAGATCGTCGGTCCCGGACTGCTCATCACGTTCGCGAAAGGGGCGTATGCCCTTTCCCTAACGGGGGCACTCGTGGAATGTTTACGAGGCATAAGGGTGACAGATAATAGGATGAAAGCAAACTGACATTTTGAGCCTCGGGGTTAATTCATCTGCGGCTCGTACTCGATGGCTGTTTCAAGACTTGGGACGGATACAATAGTGCCTATTCGATTCTTCCGTAAACTCAACGTGTCGCACGTCTTACGTGAAAGCTGCACCAATCGTCACAATTAGACGCATAACTTATGGCAAATTCGGGTGGTCACTTCTCTTTTCTGACGTTGGTTCAATAAAGCGCTTCCTCCTCGCCGTCAGAGATACTCAGAATCCTTTACAGCCGTTGTCAACTGCTGGGCTCGAACGCTCCGGCGACATTGGTGATGAATAAACACCAGGCACGTAGCCAGGATTTTGTTTCGGGGTGCTGTATGAGGCGGAGGGGGGGAAATTTCAGAAAGGGGGGGGGGGGAACCCGGGCCCCATGCCCCCCCCCCCCCCCCCCCCCCCCCTGGCTACGTGTCTGATAAACACAAGAGTTCTACGGCGGACTGCATGGATGACCGAGTAAAAATTACACACTCTAAATGATTAGGGTTGTTCATTTTCGGGCTTTATATATTTTTTAAATTCGGGGGGTAAAAATTGGGTGCAATTTTTCAAACTGATAATCGGAAAGAAATCGGGTTCTTTTATGAAACATTTCGAAATTCGGATATTTTCGGGTTAAATTTACAAATATACTCGGTAATACATTCATTTCTTTGTTTCTTGGGGGTATTACGAGCTCCCCGGCCCATTATAGCATTCCAGTGTGGGGGATAATCGTCGTCTTGCCATTCCCGAATGTTAAGCTCCCCTTGGGAGAGAGCTCCGCTGGTCCGATTCCCGTCGGTCGCTTCAGGGAAGCACCGCTAGGGGAATCCTCCTCTCCCTCAGGTGCAACAAAAACCCTGACCGTTCGAGGGACGGTCGTCTTTGATCAGCTATTCCGCTATGGAATAAACCTGTTAAGTTTTCCAGATCTGCTTACCCCGACTGACTGGCTCGGACGTTGTTCGTGAGAAAGGTAGACCGCCAGCCAGATGGCCATGCTACCGGAGAGACCAGGCTGGGTGTCGAGACCGAACAGCGGTCGAAGGGGGATTGATAGTGCATTTTACAAGCTGCGTGCAGCAGGGCCAGAAGCTATCTGGCGTGCCGAGGCGGTTCCACATGCGCAGCGGGGGGGACGGAAATATCCCTCCAAGGCCTCAACGCCTATTGTCGCTTTTCTTCAGCAGGCCTCCGTAGGATATCACAGTGAGTTAAAAGGCCCCTGACACGCCAAAAAAATTTTTTTTTCATGCTAGGCGTTGAAATGCCAGGTCAGGACATTACAATAAAATTGTTTCACTATAGAGGTGCGTAGTTTTTTAATAAAAAATAGAAATACGAGGCCCGATTCAAAGTTCCCGCCAGTGCACTGTGACGTAACAGTGTACCGCAAGGTGTCGGGGCGGTCAGAGGCCCCCGACACCTTGCGGCTCGGGTGGCCTCACCCCCCTTGCCGCATTAAAAAAAAAAAAAAAAAAATTTGGCGTTTCAGAGGTTCTTTAAGGGGTATTCACACGAGGGAGAAATCCCGGGGATTTCTCCCCGGCACGCGCATCCCACGACGAAAACGTCAGGCTTTGCGATGTGCAAAGGCCTCGCGTTTTCATCTCGTGATACGCGCGTGTCGGGGAGAAATCCCCGGGATTTCTCCCTCGTGTGAATACCCCTTTAAAGGAGCTGTGCAACAATTTCAGGGCTTTGCTTAAATAATTGTGGAAGTTGATGCCTGACACTTCTGCAGTGAACTACAGAAAACAGATTTTGCCTGGATACCCTAGTTTTTACTTAAAAAAATGAAAAAGATCCAGGTTTTCGCCGCCTCTCAACTCGTGCATCGTCTTCCGGGTCACGTGCACAGTGACGTCACTAGAGTAGGCGCGGAGTTCCGGAAAAGTTCTCTCTTTAGAGCCATCAGCGAGCAGCGAGAACTCATCCGCTGCCGACCGCGTGACCACCCGTCCTTGCCCGTCCGGCGCTGTCCCCCTCCCCCTCCGGCTTCTGGCGGCTGTTCGCGGTTTTGTGGACCTAGGATAGATGGCGCCACTAAAACTCCGTATAATAAAAGTTTTGTGGATGATACCAGGGTGTTGACGCATTTATATATATGTTGGAACGACAAGATTTGTAAAAAGAGTTACCTTTTATCGAGCAGGTATTCGCACAACTTGCTATCTTTCTTACAACGACCCCAGTGACGTCACGCCGCTTGTTTCTCATGGCCGCCGCTCGTGGCTGCAGGTCGGGAAATATTCCAAGTTTTGCCTCGCTATTACGCGGCGGAATCGCAACATTGCGATGAAAGGAGGTGTGTTTTCTGCCATTTGTGACACAGTGAACAATATCAAAAGCAGAAAATGCCAATTCCTTCAACGTTAAAATCGTTGCACAGCTCCTTTAAGCGCGCTCGTCGGGTGATCGGTTGAGAGCCGTGTAGCGTCCATAGCGCTGCATGCAGCTTGCGAAATTAGCTATAGCTGAGTGAGTGTATATTTTCTTGTGTGTGTGTGTGCTTGTGAGTGTTTCTCTTGTGGTGCGCTGTAACGTTATTCAACATGAAGTACCTACTCGCCCAGTCAGCAGTCTCATCAGAACTATAGGTCCCGAGGTAGGGTAGCTAGCGTGTGTGCACCGCGAACGCCGTGCGGCGTAAAAATAAATAGGTTGGTTGTGTGGATTTGGATTTCGGGGAGAAATCGGGTTTAACCCGATTCTTCTGAAGCATTTTCGGGGTGTAAAAATCGGGTAAGATCCGGTTTTACCCGAAAAGGAACAACCCTATACATGATGAAATAGCGGCTCTGGTGGGCTAAACTGTAATGTGTAGCGGCGTGGTGTGTTAAAAATGTTGATTCTCTGTGGTAACACAGAGAATCATTTATGTTAGTGTGGACATGGTGTGAAGAGCCGACAGAAATAGACTCGCGACCAATCTCCGCAGGAGGCGTCTGCCATTATATTGCTTTGAGATGAACACTGCATTCAATCCACACTCCCCGCAGCATCGAGCAGACCCCTGGCGATAGCTCGTGGCAAAAGATAAGAATACACTGAAACTATCTTATCCCGTCACGGCAAAAAGAGCACATCTAAGGAAGTGTAGGCTTTTTTTTTCTCTGCATTTTTGACCCTCTCTCCCTCCGACCCTCTCGCCCTCTCTCTTTCGTGCGCTTTTTTTTTTTCAGGCAGCCTGTAGCGCGCTCGCATGACGGAGCAGAGGGCCGCTGTATGTCTGAACACGTGATGTTTTACTCCCGCCGGGAGTGACAGGGATGCCCTCAAGGAAGAGGTTCGGCTTTCAGTGGTGTCCAATCAGTCTGGAGAAGAGCGCTGATTCAGCGTTCGACTGGCAGTCGGCCTGTCGACTTCCGCTGCTGGCACCCAACAGGATATGATTAGGTACCAGCCATATAACGTATTGTGCGCTGAAACCATCAGGATCTTCGCAGAACGAATCGAACGCCAATGCTCGAAAATAGTAGTCAACTCATCGCGTTTTCGACAGTGAACGCGATGCGATAGCGGTCACTCGTGACGATATCGGTCCTGCATACGACAGAACGGGGAAATATCAAATGATTCATAAACCGCACCTCCCCTCTCGGCGCAATATACTGCAAACATCACCCACAGGACCTAACACGTATCGCCAAGTGACACAAACCACTGTACTATAGCGGGTTTTCTTTTGTTTTGCTACACAAATCTTTGAACACACTTGTACCGAACCTAAAATCTCGTTGAAGCGTCCACAAAATACTGTAGAGCAGCTGCGAGCACTGCGAGCTCTCGCTTCGTACGTTAGGCTTTGCGGCCACCGTGAGACGAACGATCTCGTAAAAGCTACAAGCTAGAAACGCCGATATCTCACGTCACTGTCACAAACGGAACGTCGTCCCTTCCTGTAATCCCCCCACCATCGACCGCCACCATCGACCCCCACCATCGACACTTGTTAACCAGATTTCCATCGCTCTCTTGCCTAACCTCGCACACCACTGCCGCCGCTCCGCACTCCCACGACTAGAGACGGAGCGTTAGGGAGTAGTCTGCAAATACTGCTTCAAATCGAATAGCACAGGGTCATTCCTAGCTTGAACCATGCAGAGAGAGCCAGCGCTTCGTGGCTTGCACTGTGAACGCTATGAATGACGCAGGACTATTCGATTCGAACCACCACCCCTACTATACTCCGTTTCACCTTACCATGTCCCATGATGGACGCTACGAACTACACGAGCCATTCCCTAGCTCGTAGCTTGTCTCGTGACTTGGCGCTCTTCGCGTCGCTCCGCCCAACCGGAAGGACACGTGACGCCCTCTGAACTCTCAATTTGCTCAGGTGGCCCCTAGCGTCCTTTGTGGTTCATTGTAAGGTGAAACGAAGCATAGGGAGCGCTCTGAGAGGGGTGGGGGCGCCCTCGAAAACAACCAGTCCATCAGGTCCACCGCACTCTCCTTCCAACACCCAATTTCACGCGCTCTGGTGTGTGTGTGTAAGCGTGAAATTTATTTTAAAACCAAGAAAGGGGAGGGGGAAGGAAGACCGGAACAGTGTGGCCACTCCTTCTAATGGGGGCCTGCCAGTCCCGGTCTGAGCAACAAAAGAAAAGGGAGAGAGAGAGAGAAGGAAGAAAGGGAAGGAAGGTTCAAACAAGACACACACTGATCAAAAGATATTAAGTGGTGTCTAGTCCAGCACTGTCAGGTCTGCCACCAGAAGGTCATGTTACCCGTCACAGTCACAGATCTTGCGCCAAGCCGGGCCCGCCGTACTGGAAACTGGAAGGAACACCAAGCATTAAAGATGGTCAGCCAAGCCGGTGTCTTCCAGGAATGTCAGGAGCAGCGCGAATGTTTTCGTAGCGATGCGCCTGGGACCTGGCGGGAAAAGCAGGTGCGAAAGGCTCTGCCTTGCTGCGCCTATTTGACGAAGTTCAAGGTGGAGTCTAGAACGCTGAGCGTCTAAGATTGGGCAGTCGCAAAGGAGATGTTCTATATCCTCGGGAACTTGGCATGTCTGACAGTGTGGGCTGTCCACGCGTTTGATACGGTAAAGCCAAGAAGCCGTAAAAGCTGAACGTGTTCTGAGTCGGTGAAGAAGGGCTGCTTCTGGGCGGCCGAGTTTGGTGGGGTTCCTCCAGCTACGCCCACGTCCGGGGGTCTTTTTTGCGTCTCACGTGCGATGAGAAGCCTGGCCTCGTTGATCTACGGCACGTG